TTTTTTAAGTTTTAAAGTCGAATGTTTTATAATGGTTTGAAGTAACTTCTATTAAAGGGGAAAGACGCTCACTGCTGGCTTGCTTCACGTTTCAGGTAATTTCATTTGGACTTGCTTCAGGCTTTGCAGCTGGTGGACACTGACTGGACAGTTCCTATCTAAGGCCCGATCTGATGCACGCTTAGGTGGAAATAAGTCCCGCAGTGTTCAGTGTGGGCTTTAGCCTTGCGTAAATGCATGCCAACTTTCAGCCTTGCAGCCTGAGCCGGTGCGTGTTTACTCAAAAGTAATCCCTACAGAATTAAGTTGGACGTTACCCTGCGCCCCAAATCATTGTACATTGGATTGCAGCCTTAGACAGTTTGTTTCATTTCAACGGAATTATGGTGGAATAAAGTGGGCTGAGGAGGGCAGTTGTTAAATGTCGGTCTCATTTTTAGGTTTGCAAAACATTTGTGGGGCTTGGGGCATTTCTTTCCTGTAGCTTACACTTCTCTCAGTGTTGCCTATACTCAGGCCTGTAGCCAGGAGTTTTTTGTTGGGGTTTTTTAAATTTTTAAGGGGGCAGTTAAATTAAAATTACTTAAATTAATCTGAACACCTGTCCTTAAAGGGGGATGCTCTGAGAGCTTCCTTTCAAGGGACAGCGCAGTGAGCGTGTCAGTTCCTAGGCAAAAAACAGCCCAGAGGACATTCAAATGCATTTTGAGTTCACTTCCACGGGACACAAAAGTTTAGAAGGGCACCTAAGAATGATACTTTTAGCACTTCTTACACAGCAGGACCTGGCTAGCAGAAAGGGGGATTGTTGGAGATGTATTGAAGGTAGCACTCTTGAGTGCCCTTCTAGGCTTTCTTGGCCTGCGAAAGGGACCTCAAGAGGCATGTAAATGCTGTCGGAGCTGTCTTCTGCCACCTCCCATCATGCCCTCCTCCAATTCCACAGTGAGAGGGAGAGGGAAGCCTGCCACTATCAGCAGCAGGCAGTGTGTGTGTGTGTGTGGGGGTCTCTCCTCAAAAATAAGGTTTGTGCCATGGCTGTTTGAGGGGCAGGGCCCCAAAATGCCCCACTGTAGCTACAGGCCTGCCTATGCTACTGAAGGTTTGAGACAAACTTGAATAAACGTAAGTAGGCTCAGTCAGTTGCTTCAGTTAGGGCCTACTTAGCTAGAGAGAAGAGGTTCTCTCTCTACCACCAAGTATGGCCTTGAGTGACTAGTTACTGCCCCAACTAGAGATAGTAGGGTTGTTCACAGGCCTGGAGAAAAATGCTCTGCCCCTTTAACCAAAGCTTGCTATGTGGACATGGGCAACTGAAGCTTTTCATGGCATGGAGCTATAACATCACCTGGTAAATAACACCCCATTAAGCCTATACTGAAAGGACAGGCCATCCCCCCCCCCCCCAGTTAGCAACCCCAGATAGGAAGTGAAGGGTGCACTTGCATAGCCCTGTAGAATTTCTCTTGGAGGCACTTTTGCTGCTAATTTTGCTTTTGTTCATTATTGAATTAGTCAAGAATATTTTCCCAATGTCTGACTGACTCAGAGTCTTTTCTTGAAACTTGTGGTATGGCTTCCTTGAGTCATGGGGGGGGGGGAAATTGGACCCCTTTTCTCTACTAGAGGCACTTTGTCGTTAGATGATCCAGAACTTGAACAAGAAAATGGACTATGTAAACTTTGGCCCCTTCAAACAACATGGTTTTGTGATTCTTCAAGAAATAGTAACCCAATTTGCAGCCTCTTCTAATTGCTGAGGCTCTAAATTACAACTTAGAATCTTTTGTAGAGTTTTATGCAACACTTCAAAGAACACCTTGTGGGAACTGGGACAGTGGAGTGTTTAGGGCACTGCTGATGTTAAGTGTGTAAAATTATGCTGGTCCTGGTCATTGCAAGATTGTTTCTGCCTCCTGACTTCTTCAGGAGGGAGTCTTAATGCTATGAAAGCAAAAAAAAGGAGAAAAAACCCCCTCCAGTTGTGCATTTAAGTGGAAACAATAGTTTTACAGCAGCATTTTTTGGCTACAATTTAAAAACCACGCTGATGCGTTTGGAATGTGTTGATCTGAAGCTGCAAAAAGGAAAGTGGGAGAAAGTTTGCTTTATTTTCATCTTCTAGCCTTATTAAGTTTAGCATGTGGTGGCCAGCCTGTGGAAGCATCAGTACAGTTTGTGACCTGCCTGAATGGCAACCAAAGGACCCAGCAGGACAGAAAGGCTGCACATGTATGTGGATAGCAGTAGTTCATACTTTGGATTTTATTTGTGGCATATTTTATCCATGATAGACCCTTTGGAGATAGGTTTTTGTACATGGGAATGTTATGAAAGTGCAGGAGAACTGATGTTAAAAAAATGCCTTTCTTGGATCCATTCTGGATAAGGTTATTGATCCCCCCCCCCCCCATGGGGTTCCTGTGCCTCTATAGCAGCTGGATATTTAGGAGGAAAATCAGCAGTTGAAGTTTTTTTTCCAATATTGCATCAGCATACTGAATTCCTTCCTGTCGTACTGTTCTTAAAGGAAAAGGCTCCTTGCTAGGTGAAAGCTGACATCTAATTCTGGGGTGTTTATAAGGTAAAACCTGTGTGCTTGTATGTAAATAATAAAACACTTTGCAATCACTGGGTCTCAGGCAGGATTGAACTGGATTAATATCACTAGTGATTTGGGAGGACAAGTTCTTACTGATTCCAGTGGGGCAACAGTTCTAGTCTGTTACAGTAACAACCAAAAGAAGCTCTGAGCCATTTTAAAAACGAACAAAATTTTATTTCAACGTAAACTTTCATGGATTAGAACTCATGTCTTCAGGTGCAACTTCTCAGATGGTATGCCTGTTTAACTAAACTGTTGAAGTGGAAATATTGCCTTTTGTCAATGTACATATGCAGATGTTCAGATGCTTAGAGTGAAGACAACATAGTCAGGTGTGTATTAGTTGTGGAAAAATTATTCTGGACTCATGGACCTGCTCCTAAGAAGACCAAACTTTTGTTATACAGCTTTAACCTTAGAGGCCTCCTAATAGGCTGAACTATTAGTTTCCCTTACAGAATGTAAACAGAATTGTGCTGGAGTGGATGCATTTGCAGAGAAATCAGTATAAAATCTCAGAGAAGAGTTGCAGGTGCAGAATGGAATGGCATAGCTACCTCCTTACCCCATGATAGCCCTGGGAACTGTATCCTGGGAAAATTCGTAGAGTACATCAGCTTGCCTTGCAGGAGACTGCCAGTAACCATATTTAATAATAAATTAGGATTGAGCCTTCTAATTAGGGCTGGGTGTCTAGCATTCAACCGGAGTGCACACTATGTAATTAAAGAGGGTGGTTCACAGTGTACTTGGAGCAAACAAAGCAGGCTGACTGGAAGGTCAGAAAGAGGTCTTCTTGAGTGGGTAGAATGAAGTTAATATGTAGTTGTGGGCACAAATTCTTGTGCTATCTTAAGAGTGACTCCTCAGAGAGCCGCTGACTAGTTCAGTAAACTTACATGGCTTGTTTACAGTTATGCGATTTGCCCTTTTTTGCTGCAGTTCTAAACACCATTAGAAGTAAATTGCATTGAAATCAGTGGGGCACTCTAGATGAAACTCAGAATCAGACTTGTATCCTTGTGTGCTTGTGTGTTTTGTGGAGTGCAGATTCAAATCAATATTTTTTGTTAAATAGAAGAGGGTTTCTAATGTCTTACCTCAATAGTGTAGGAGTCTGTCTAATTCCAAGTTTTATATTTGGACAAAACCACCAGATCCTTAAGTACTGCTTTAGGAGCAGAAGGGAGTACCAGGCAAAACAGTTGGTGTTTAAACAGTTAATTGAAAGATCTTGCTTGTGTCTACCTATATACAGTTTGTCCACTTGCAACACAATCTCCTTATAGTGCAGTAGAGCATAGATGTTGCTGTTCACATATAATCTAGTCTGCCTACCTACATTACTTGTTCCCAGTGTTAAGAGTAAAATATTTTCTTCAGTTTAAGAAAAGCTGCTGCTTTGGCCAGAAGCATCTTCATATTTATGTGCTAAAGAAATAATTAGATATTCGAAGACACATAATCTCTCCACTTACATTTCAGCTTCTTGTGCTATGTCATCCTATGCATGTTCATTCAGAGGTAAGGCTCACGGTGTACAGTGGGGCTTACACCAAGTGAGAAAAGGCTTGCAACTTGACAAATAGTTTATAAAGAGATGGTTTTTAAAGTTCTCTCTCAGGCTGAGGTGCTCTTGAACTTCTTAAATCTTTTGATCAGTGTTTTGATTTCAGTATTACATTTTTATAGAACTTGGAATAATTTTGCAATGAAAGCTTTTGAGTAGCTAAGGAGCACATCAAACTTTTCTTTAAGACTATTTAGCACAATATCCAATGAAGTGTGGATGCTGCCACTGACTGCTATGCAGAGACATGTTATGCCAAACACTTCTATGAGTGGTAAGTGCTATGAAACGGCATGTTACCTAATGAGTATTTAGCAAGCAAATAATTTTGGGACACTACCATGAATTTTGTTCTAAATGTACTGGATTAATGTACTAAAACAAGTTCTAACCTAGTGTTTTTAATTATTCATTCTAAAAAACATTTGGTGGTGGAAAGTGCTGTCAAGTTGCAGCTGACGTATGGCAACCCCATAGGGTTTTCAAGGCAGGAGATGTTTAAAGGTCTGCCTCTGCGTCGTGACCCTGGAACTGCTTGATAGTCTCCCATCTAAATACTAACCAGGGCCAACCCATGCTTAGCTTCCAGGATCTGATGAGACTGGGATAGTCTGGGCTGAAGAGCATTTAAAAAGGGCTAA